TTTTCCTTAGCCTGCTCGAAAAACTCCAGATATTCTGCATAGTTGTGTTCTGTCCTGTGGCTAGGTCAAGCCATTGGATGTTCCCCTCAACCTTACAAGAGTGAGGTTTCCTTGTTCAGAGCGCTGCACGTGCATAATACGCTCTTTTATCATCTCAGAGAGACCACACTGCACATGCGCAGGACTCTGAAGAAGGACAGCACTTGGTCCTGTGATGCTGGGGGCGAGTGTCCAAAATCTAGGCCATCCTGGGAATAGGACAGGATGGAGGTATGCTCATGCCTTGAGATAGCATTCAAAATGCATGGCATCGCAAGCCAAGCCATGTTGCTACACATTACCTCAATGCAAAGATGTAAATAGGCCCTTAGTTCACTATTGCCTAAACCTGCATATGGATCACAGCCCTGAATACTAGCTGCGAGGAGGTGGAGCACCATAAACCCAGTTCTTGTCACTTGTTCTGCCTGATGAAGGGGATCCTTTGAGACCCTGAAACGTTGCACGGAGTGTATTTATGCTGCATTTACGTCAATAAACAGACGTTTATGATTTGCAATTGGAGTGGCGGTGTCTCACTTCTTACTATAAACCCAGTTCTGACACATAAATAATGAGGGGGGCTTGCCTGGAATCTTTCTTCTATTAAATCCTTTTATAACAGTCCTGACCAAATGAAGGGCTCTGTGCATGCGGAGCAATACGTAGAATACTTAGATATACATATAGAGGTTTCCTGGTAAAAGAGTTTTAATGAGAGATATTCTTGGCTATAATGGGATAATTTTTAGAAAACAGAACTGCATCAGATGAAAACCTCTACAGGGTCTATTTACTGGCATGGTTTGTAATAGTCATATATTATTAGCATACCTTTAATACATATATACAATATTATATCTAGATATGGGATTTTCCTCTGTACCCCCTGTGTCTGTAAATCTTGAAGAATATCTTATATACATACAATATCATATCTAGACATGGGATTTTCCTCGGTGTCTGTAAATCTTGAAGCATATCTTTCATACATACAAGATCAAATCTGGATATGGAATTTTCCCTCTGTACCTCTTGTGTCTGTAAGTCTTGAAGCATATCTTTTACACATACCATATATACAATATCATATCTAGATATGGGATTTTCCTCTGTCTGTAAATCTTGAAGAATATATTTTACACATATATACAATATCATATCTAGACATGGGATTTTCCTCGGTGTCTGTAAATCTTGAAGCATATCTTTCATACATACACGATCAAATCTGGATATGGAATTTTCCCTCTGTACCTCTTGTGTCTGTAAGTCTTGAAGCATATCTTTTACACATACCATATATACAATATCATATCTAGATATGGGATTTTCCTCTGTCTGTAAATCTTGAAGAATATATTTTATACATATATACAATATCATATCTAGATATGGGATTTTACTCTGTACCTCCCGTGTCTGTAAATATTGAAGCAAGCAATCTGTTTTTTTATGTTGATCACTAATATCAGGTATCTGTCATACACCAAATGCATTTTGTTGCCCTTGCAAGGATATCCTGCATACTCCTTGTATGAAACTGTGGTATTTGCAAAACCGATCTTGAAACCCCTGTAAATGTTTGTATAGGTTATAAAATGAGTCATTTCAAAAGTTACTACGGTAGTAGCGAACATTTTTCTTCATTGGCCTTTTTCCTAACCATGTCAAGTATTTTCATTAGTTGTGCAAAGATACAGTCTTGGCCCCCTTTCATACTAATCATCATTACATCGTGTGTAATGTTCTTGCCATGGTGCTATCTGACACAACTGCCCATTTTGTTTTTGGTCTCAACATTTGCTCTGTCTTCCTCTCCTACATTACTTCCTGGAACGTTGCCAGTACCAGTGAATCCAGTTGCATGCCAATGCCCTGAAAGCAAAAAGGTGTCACAAACCCTGAAAACAGAATTTGATCATATGAAAAAAATGGCATAAGAAGAAGTTACCGTACAGCAGAATTCCAGGGAAAATTATTCTTAACCCTTGCAGTGGGCCTACCCTAACAAGTGCTCGTTTTTATCTAGGTTAAAAAATTAAGTTATACTCACCTGAGCCGGCTTGCTCTTAGGCCGGTCCCTTCCGCCTCGCTCCCCATCCACTGCAGTGTTCTAAGGTCCAGTGAATCATATAATGGTGTATAGAACATGAGTATGCCAAGGGATATACCATCACTGCAGCGGAGGAGGAGCTAGGCACATGGTCTGCCTAGCTCCTTCTCAGAGGCTTAGAGGATTAGAGGATTGGGTGAGTATAACTTTATTTTTGAACCTACGCAAAAAAAATAAGCACTTAACCATTGCTTTGGGTGTAGTCCCACTGCAATAGTAAAGACTAGTTTTCTGCAGAGTTCTGCTTAACAAAAACATAAAAAAAAAAAAAAAAATCATATAAAAAAACAGCAACAGATCCAGGAAGTTAAGCAGCTGAATTTATATGCAAATCTCAAATTCTACTGTACAAACTGAGGTAAGACTCATCCTCTGTTGTCCAAAGAGTATGCTTATTACATTTAAAGTGACCTATAGGAAAATATAACTATAGGACAAAGTCGAGAGTTACTATATTTCTGGATGTTTATACCACTGCAAGGGTATTTTTAATAAAAATCCAAGTTCAGCTATAAAGGCTAAGCAAGCTATACAAGCAGTTTAATGTCTTGCTGCCAGTCACCTCATTAGGCTAGCACTACAGTATAAAACAGATTTGTTTCGTATTACATTCTAGCAGTAATTTGTTACTAGAAGCAATTGATCACTAAATAGATGGAACAGATGGCTCACTATGGAATAAGCTACACGAGTAGCATGTAGTAGCATCTTGAAATGATCACTAGCACATAATAGAAGAATAAGAGATGAAATGTTACTACATGCTTCATGTGTAGCTTAATCCATAGGGGACCATTTGATTCATCAAATGCTACTTTGCATGACTGAGCTCCTAAAAATCTACTGTGAAGCTCTAGGGAAAGGAGGTGACTATCAGTTAGTTACATCTCTCAGTATAAGAGATTAAAATCATGCATGTACCTTAGCTCCGGGACCTGGTATATAGGAATAGAGGGCACAGGAGGAAATCGCACAGGAGGAGGCCTCTATTAGTGGGCATCTGCTCATTTATTGTCCAAGCAAGCCAGGGGTTGGTTGACAACAGAGGAGAACATTTGGCATTATTTTGTGCAGTCACCCATAAGATGGTGAAGTACAATTTCCCAATATTCCTAGGTAGTGAAGAGGATTGAACTTGGAGTGTAAATAAAGACCCACACGTTTGGCTTTTTGCCAAACGTGTGGGGTGCATTGGGGTGCAGTCCCACTACTGAAAGACCCAGGTGATCAGCAGAGGAATGGAGATCCATTTCCGTCCTGGTCATATGCTGCCCTTCATTTGGAACCCCTTGCAGCAGTACAGGCCACCTAATTATTATATCCAACCCTGCTAGTCAAATACTGAAGACAGCTGCCACAGCTCTTCATAATTCAGGTTCATTTTATTATTGCACAATATAATTTAGCACCTAACTAAGGCTACAAACTTCTACACAAGCCCAGGGCTAACTCATGCTGCTTACATACCGTTTCCTTGTTAAATATTTACATACAAGCAGCTAGCATTAAAAAAAAAAAAAAATAAATCTATTAGCAGCTCTGGATTTAATTTGTCTTTGCATATCAACAAAACACCATAAATATACAACTTTGATATAATCAGTGTGGACTTAGTCAATTCTGGCAACAAAATAGTTACATCAAAGTTGCATTTCACAAAAAATTATAGCTATTAACAATGCAAAGCCTGTTTGAATCTACACATATAAATACTAATAAATATACAACTTACATGGTTATCATTGACAACGGTTCCATTTACCAGGGGAAAAAAAGCCTGCAGATACAACACTCGTACAGGCCGTTTAGCTATTAAGTGCTTTAGTAGGCTGCAAAATTTTAAAGGCTTTAACAAAAAACAAACAGGATTTCTCCCAACTGCCGTTATCACTGAATGATAATTCATTCCAAGTTCTCCCCCAAAACGTGGTCAAACGGTTATATACTCCTTGAAAGTAACAGTAAGACAGTTGGCCGTTACATCTGTAATCACAATATTTCCAAAAAAAGGTTTGAATACAGTCCTTGGGTCCTCCTTTGCGTCATCTGGTTCACTGGCCTGGGATTCTTCAGTCACTTGAACGGCATGGTTGGTGATTTCTTGGCGACTGTCACACCTGGACTTCACACATCGCAAGTCCATGGGTTCATCTGAGTCAGAGTCTAAGAGAATAATGTCTGGCTCTTGTGGAGAAACAGGCAGAATGCTCTGACCACCCTGGTTCTCCAATCTACCGGGAGCGCTAACGCTTCGTGAAGTAAGTACCTTTTTGGAGGCATCTCCAACATCTGCCAACTCAGCCAAGCATCTCTTTCTAGGGTTAATATATACAACATCCTTAGTTGACTCTTTATTACAAGATAAACTGCTTCCCTTTGTCCACGTGGTTATGTCCTCCTTGGTAGTGAGTGGCAAGGGCTGGTTGTGAACAGATTCAGCGTTAGAATAGGTTCTCCGGAGGCCAGCAAGAGGAATGGTCTTCCTGTCTCCACAGACTTTATCCTCATTTATTCTGATTTTGGGCTCCACTCTGTTTTTCCAGCTCTCCTGTTTTTCTTCAACCACGTTACAAGTCCTGTCACCATTGCAGGTGACCTTTGTGCCCACTGTCCTTCCAGGCTCAGTTTCACAATCCTCCTCTGCAGACTTAATTTTCACAGACTGCATCCCGTTCTCCATATACTTACTCATAACTATGACAATTCTCCCATTCTTATTTTTGTTTTTCACAATTTTCATTTTGCCTCCAACTCCATTTCCAGACACTTCTTTAACCGTGCTGGTAGGAGCAACGCTAGAAAGAGTTCTGTCAAAGCCATTTAAAGCTAACCCTATGCCTTTTTTTGCTGGAGCCTCCAACTCCATAGGCCGGCTCTGAGTCCAGGACTCCCTTTGTCTGCTTTGATCAGAAGAGTTTTGAGAATCCTTCCCTGAGGGATACTGGTCATACATCTTGGGGTCTGGCTGGTAATGATGATGTTTCTTGCTATTCAGTTGGTAGTAATATTTTCTTTTGTTGCTTGAGTGGTGCTTTTCAGAGAGATCACTTGCATACGGCTGATATTGGTGGTGTTTTTTACTGTTCAACTGATATTGGTAAGGCTGGCTCTTTGCTATAGATGCCATATCCAGCTTAGGATTGCTGGCCACAGTAGTATCTTGAAGGCCACTCAAGACATTGGAACGACGGGCAAATGACGGCACCTGTGAAAAAATAAAAAGCATCAAGTTACAAGCCACTTAAGCAAACATACTTTTTTTTTTCTTGAAATAAATGACAGAATAGGCAATTGGTCAGCAAGCAAACATACTTACTAGGGAAACTACTAACACTGGATACTAAAAACCAAATAAATACCATCCTCAAAAACACAAAAAGTTTACTTCAGAATAAAACTGCATACACAATTTTTTGCAATCGCACTGCTATTGCAACCGCCCACTGCTTGCTGTGCCCTCCGCCCATAATGAGAATAGTTGACAACTCTTTTTTGTCGGTGGTTTATTAACCCTACAAGGGTTAATAAAAGTTTTGGCTGGAGTTCTTCTTTAAATTCTTCCAAGTTTAGGCCATAAGGGTAGAAAGAATAGGTGTAGTTCTGGGAGGTTTTAGGCCAACTTTCAGCAAGCTTTAGGGCCTTTATGAAAAATATGGGCAGTAGCAATCATTCTTTATATGTACAAATCAGTACAATTACAGACATCTAGAGTGAATCTTACAAGGGAATAAGATAATGACAATTAATAGCTAGTATTAGTAGCTGCAGCAAGACAGATAGAGACAGACTCATTTCCTGGATGGAGGACTTGCAGCATCATCTAGTCTTTTCTGTCCCTGGCCCTACTGTCCCTGGACTGCCCCTTTTATTCACTGGATTCAGTTATTTCAGTCTTAGAGGCACAGTATCACATGTGGATGTTACCTAGGGTCCTCTGCATCCAAATGCAGCCTGCCTAGGAACTCCCACTACTCCCGACTGCTATCCACCCATCAAGGCATTTTATTATCTACATAACTCCTCCCAAGAGCCAGCCCACTGCTTTCCTCATGGCTCTTGAGAGGAGTACTGTGGCAAGGTGCTCTGATGGTTTCAGGAAGTTATGTACAGCTCCCTGCTGGCCAATCCCACCAGCCATGATCTAATTGAATAGCATAGAGAAGCACACAAACTGAGTGATGACATCACTAGGACTACAAAAATGTATGCAATGTAATTGAAACAATTTTAAAATGTTGATGAGTGAAGCAGGGAAGGCAAAATATTAGCAGATTAAACTTCAGCTTTAACTTACCGACAGAATATGGTGCTTTGGTTTAGGTCCACGTTTTCGGTACCCCATAATCTGTTCTTGTCGTTCTCTACATAAAAACGAGGACAGCAAAGTTAGGGTTATCAAACTAAAGCATAAAAACAGAGCTAAAAACATGT